CGTATATCACGTGTGAAGACTGCAAGATTTGCTATGTTCAGTCTAATTGAAAGTATGTGCGTGAGAATCAACACTTTACTCCTTTTTTTGTGTTTGTTCTCGATGATCTACCTACTGCTGCTTATACATGTATCACTTATACATTGTCTAAGGGACCATATCAGTAACTACCGATATTTATTTAGAAACGAAAACTAGTCATTTCTCTTCAACCCCCTCCCTGAGAAACGAACACATACAAATGGTACATATTAGTATCGATATTTCTTCTTCTTTTTTCTGGACATGCCCACGCATCGATATTTTTTCGAGAAGCGAACGTTCGAACAGGTGCTCAACCCCCTCTCCCCCCCCCCCCCCCTGAATGACTAGTTTTCGTTTCTAAATAAATATCTATATATTTAAAATATTTACGGATGGCCCCTAAAGATAATTAGAATTATTATTATTGTATGGACTGGGTTGTTTCTTGTCTGTATCCACCCGAAGACGAAGCAATGAACTGAGTACGTGTACCAGTGGAAGTTATGGAATCGTGACTGTAAAGAGCCCAGAGTTTGTTTTATTCCTGAGTCTGATTGCATAATTTTTGTCCCAAAGAAGAAGCTGTGTTGTACCAAGAGTCCACAACCCCCCAGGGGGGTTATGGTCTCTTGGTTGTACTGATAAGCTCTGAAGGAACAAAGCGTTGTTTTGATCGTTGCAGTACCTGCACTCTGGATATGTGAGCAGTATCTTCGACGAAGGAAACCTCGCTGTGGTCCGGACGGTGTTCTCTTGTGGTAAGGTAGCAGTTGCATTGTACAGGACATTGTGCTCATTCTAATCTAACTGTAAGTTGCTAGCAACCTGATCGGCTCCAGCCTGATGTGGTGTTATAACAGCAACCTTCCGCAGCCATTGGAGAAGTGAGCAGAGGCAATCAGTATATTCTGGGATAGTAATACAATTCATGTATCCAGTTTAGGCTACAACCGGGTGCTAGTTTGTCCTGAGCCAGGAGCCAATATAAGACAGGTTTTGTACACTACAGGTACCTATCGCCCTCTTCAGTTTCTTCTTGGTAATTTTTTTCTGCCTTTGTGTCTTGTTCAGGTGCGGTACCTTGTTCATAATCAGATTTCGGTATTGAAGAAAATCACATCAATGATTTCACCACCACAGAGTATCTCATGAACAGTTACCGTAGCTGAGAAAGCCTTTTTCGTTGTTGTTGCACAGTCATGGAACTTGTGTGTGGAATGGCGGCTTACACTCTGTCCAGCGCTCTGCCCGAATGTCCTCATCCAACTACTTCACGCAGGGTCGGGCCTCAGCAGTCAACTCCACGAGTCGGCCTCTCTCTCGATCTCTCGAAGTAGCCGTGCAACAAATCATCATGAAGAGCACACGAGTGTCCAACACCAGTGCAGCGGCAAAGAAAAAACAACACGTGGCACACAAGTGACAACGTGGTCTATCTCACTGGCTCCCATGTCCGGCTCATTGTCGAAATCTGAGTTAGGTTTTCTCGGGTGAGAAGGAACGCCGGCGGACATACAGAGCCCTCGCACCACAATGACCACGACAATGAAGTCTAACACTCAACAACCTCGTCACAACCATAATGCACAATCTTCACTGGGCTGGGAAAGCGCTTGTTGTGTTGTCGCCAGCACAGGCTTGTTGTACTTGTATGCATCATCTCGTATGCACTTTTGTGTGTAGAGTCGAGTCGCGGACACCAGAGCATGCGCGCGCACTGCGAATTTCGGACTTTGCATGACACATACACTGTGGCGTTTTTTGCCTTCGTTTTCATGGTTGTGTTGACTAGCTTCACTACATTTTATGTGTTAGTTTTGGACGAAGTGCCCTTTCGTTTTGGGCTTCGCGCCTCACCATTGCACAAGGACTGGAGCCGATTAGTTCATTGCTTCTATTTGAGATAGGCCTGGTTAGCTGATTGGGTGCTGTCAGCCATGGCTGATAAGCAAGCCGCGCCCGGAGTCGGTGGGTTGACGAAAAGACTCAGGTAAGTTTTGCGGCAACATCACCTCTTGGAGATGTCTTCACACATGACCATTCCGATCACCGCCTCTGTCCTGCGGCCTCCCACAGGCGCAAGGGCTCGGATGTTTCAAAAGACAAACGGAGCACGAGTCATGAACGAGGTCCGAACTCTATACCAGCACTGATGGTACGTGACTGAGAATATGAGAATGTTCAAATTCAGAAGATATCTTGAGCAATGTGGTGTATTCCGAAATTTCCTCACTTAGTGAGAGTGTGTGTACGTCAAAGCGTAGAGAGTTTAGCAGTTTCTGCCTGGTGTGTCCTTAGTTGAACAATGTAGAGTTCTATGAGAGCTGGAGAAGTGGCAGTTGGTGCAGAACACCACCTCACCCAACATACTCCATCTGCTCATTTCCTCTGTGGATAAAGTTGTGTCAGAAAGTGTCAGCTGTCATGGCCTCCGTCGGGGAAGTGAACTCGCTTTGACCACCATTATAGGCCATGGCCACGGAAGTACAGCAATGCTCTTTGCTTCCCATGAACTGTAGAGTTCCAGCAGAATCACGTTCTCACTATTTTCAATGACTGAAATCTTCAGCCTGACATCAAGTGGCTTCAGCAAGCATAGTCATTCTACCTACACGTGCATACCTACATTTGTACTACTATTACTGGTATCAATATGCCTAATGCAACCTGCATGAGCCTGGAGGCTGTAGTCCTGTTCTCTTCGACTTGAAGTTGAAGCTGGCACAATATGCAGCCCCACACAGTCACGCTTCACATCACCTGCAATGGAGTACTTATAGATTCATGCACCACACATGTCGATATGCGTGCATGTGTGTGCGTGCATGTGTGTGTGTGTGTGTGTGTGTGTGTGTGTGTGTGTGTGTGTGTGTGTGTGTGTGTGTCAAACTGTCACACATCGATGCTAGTTATCCTGCTGTGATAATGAGCTTTTCGTCGGGGCATGTTTTCTCGGGTACTAGTATTTGTAGTGCGTGTCCTACGTTCCATTGCTCTAGTTACATGTACAGTCGTCCCTCTCTAATCCGCCGCTTGTTTATCCAGCATCCTTGCAAACCAGCACACTTTCTCGCAAAACGGATTTTTTCAGTTCATTTTCTACGCTTTAACCCGGCACTTGTATTCTGCCTCCAGCAGCGATTTTCTGCAACAAATCACTCAAACTGTACATAACTCGATTTTCTAATCCAGCAGTTGTACATCGCTATCTGGGAGCATTGTAAACATACTCAACACATGTAACATACATTTGGGAATATCCTATGCCAGTGCATGGGATATTATTCCCAAGTGTATGTTATAGACATGCATTCCACAAAGTACTTGGATTGACACAGAAAATCCCTACGTTTTGACGTACAACACAAACATGTATGTTAATAGGTGGGCCGGGTTGGAGGGCAGGATTTGATAATCCAGCACCCTTGTTTATCCAGCAGAAAATGCCGTTGCAACAGGTGCCGGATTGGAGAGGGACGACTGTATATATATGTTACGTGTGTGCATGCATGTGTGTGTGTGTGTGTGTGTGTGTGCATGTGCGTGCATAGGTGTGGGCGAGTGTAAATATCTATGGGCACTGGTATACGTGTGTTTAGATGATCTTTTAACTTTAGAGTACATATGCCACCCCAGCATTTCATGCTTCCCGTGTGCACTTCCGACTATCTCTTCTCCTGCACATGGCGACAAGATGCCTTTGTGCCCGTTTCGGGGCGGAATCGGGATAACACCGTCTCGTTATTTTGTTGCGTCATGTGGCACCGAGTGTAGACAGGCAGAAGAATGTGCGTAGTTCCACCATGATTTGGGACTTGGTCTCCTCAAGTTTTGTTAGAATTTGCTGATACTCAGCGGGCGTGCTTGGTATGCGTACTAGAATAATTATATCTGACCTTGCACTGACTTACATTGTGGCTGTGAATGGGTATTGATCTGCTTCCTTGATTTTCAGATCCACGATTCTGAAGTACCACCACCGGTGGATTTTGAGAACTTTCTGGACGTTCATCACGGTATCCTTTCCCGAGATCCGTTCAAGGACTTGCTTGTATTCCCTGAGAATGACATCAAGGTTTGCACGGAGCAGCGCTTCTGCAGGACGCAGGAGAGCACCATCCCGGAAGCAGCTGCGTACGTGTGCTGAAAAGTCCTGGCTTTTGCATTGGTTGTTCACGGTAGAGGGGGAGGGTGTCTTACTGCAGTCTTACTCCACTTCAATTCCAAACCCTCACTAACCACTTGCCACGATTATCCAGTGACAACAATGATACTCTGTTGCCGTTCAAAACCAAGAAGTCGTGTGTACAATGGGTGCATGACTCGTGCAGTATTTACAGGTGGTGAATTCCCTAAATTGACATGTGACCTTATGAATAATAGCAGTAGTGGGAATGCGCAGCCCCAGCAACACAAATGCTGGACTGTGTAGGGATCATCACGGCTTTGCTGTACGTGCAATCAGAGCTGTAGTCGAATACATGTATGTGGAAATTATCCTTTCTAAATGTTCATATCTACGTGTGCCCTTAAAAAATAAAATAAATAAAAAGCAGCTTTGCGTAGTAGCTGTTTCCGTAGAAGGGAGGACAGGTACGTGACTGTACTACATTAACTTGAAGTACTACATGTAATTGGATTTTGGCCACATTTTGTTTCATTGAAAGTAAAGCCATTTTTCCTGTAAGGAGTCTATTTTAGCGACTTTTTTCAGTTTGTACACATTTCTGTCCTCTACAAACTGAGATGTTTACCAGATGGGGTGCTTAACATGCTTCTCATGTGCTCTGGGTGGCTTCTGTTTGCCAATTCACCAGCATTGAGGACATCTAGTAACGTTATCAGTATCTCTGTCTTCATCTCTACGTGTTCTGTTTCATAGAAAATCCACAGTTCCACATATCAACCGCTGCACCAATTACTTGAATTCGAACTTCAGCATCTGCGAGAGAATGTAAGTGCCGCTTGGTCATGTCTGCACTTTTTGTACGTCCAAGTTATGATGGCAGTAAGAGAGGCAGTAGTGGCTGCACTTGGTGCCATAATCTTTCATGAAGCATTGATTACGCAAATATTGCTTGCTTTTCTCATGCAGGAATATTGTGGCCTCTGGCACACGCCTCAGTAATCTCAGGCAGCGGCAGAGTGAGAAGGAAAAGACGAACATGTTCCCTCACCAGGAGTATGAGCTCGACACACAAAATGATCCCAAGCCAGAGGAGTCACAACCGCCACCATCGAGGGTATGTTTATGTTTGTTCACGTGTGTTAGTTTATAATCATGATGATTTGTCAACGGCTCTTCTCTCCCTCTCCTAGCCACGATGAACGTAGGCTGGTGATGTCATACCGCAAACTGTCAGACTGTTTTGGGCACTGTGTCATCTTCAGTACCTCAAGATCACCTTTCCGTGGTGACAAGTTGTGCTACGTTCTTGGAGCTCTCTGATGGAATCATATGAAAGTGCATTTTTACTACCACATACTCCTGTACTTTATGATGGTGAAAGCTGCATGCAACATCAGGACGGGAGAGACTTATCAGTTCATGCTGCATGCGTAATATGCACATGCATGCCTAAAATGGTGTTTATACACATAACACAATTGAGGACATATCTGGGAGCTATCACGTTATGTGTAGTTGTACGGCTTACACCATACTCTCCGCTCTGTCTCTCTCTCTCTCTCTCTCTCTCTCTCTCTCTCTCTCTCTCTCTCTCTCTCTCTCTCTCTCTCTCTCTCTCTCTCTCTCTCTCTCTCTCTCTCTCTCTCTGTCTCTCTCTCTGTCTCTCTCTCTGTCTCTCTCTCTCTCTGTCTCGCTCGCTCTCTCTGTCTCTCTCTGTTTCTCTCTCTCTCTCTGTCTCTCTCTCTCTCTTTCTCTGTCTCTCTCTGTCTCTCTCTCTCTCCCTCTCTCTCCCCCCCCCCCCCCCTCTCTCTCTCTCTCTCTCTCTCTCTCTCTCTCTCTCTCTCTCT